GCGTGTGTGTGTGTGTGTGTGCGTGTGTGTGTGTGTGTGTGTCATGTATATGTCTGTGTGTATGTGTGTGTGTGTATGTGTGTGTGTGTGTGTGTGCATGTATATGTATGTGTGTCCGTAGGTGTGCCTGTGCATGGATATGGATGTGTGTCCGTAGGTGTGTGTGTGAGTGTGTGTGCATGTATATGTTTGTGTCTCCGTAGGTGTGTGTGTACCCAGCGTACACCTCATCGTTCGCCTTTGTGCACATGCTGTGCAAAGGTATTAAGTGATGCCACGCCCAGATACCTGACCCACATCCAACTGACTTATAACAAGCACACTTGGCTACCACAGGAATGCAAATGCCCGGTACTTATAGTGCGTCGCAAGGGAGACACCGAATCCTAGACCGAGTTCTGCAATAACATATTAAACTATAGTATGCTGCGAAGAGTCCCTGGAATACTTAAAGCTTGCATTTTACATTCACCGGTGGATGCGCTTATATCTGAAATTGTGAGAGATTAGCAAACAGAACTTACACGTCCCGGATTTTTTTTGCCCGGGTATTGCTCTGAACCCTTTGGGTTTGTAATTAACAACGTGGCAAAACAGGTACACACCCATGTATGAGCAATTACAAGCACAACTATATGCATATAGGATATTCCCAGATAAATAAAGTGATCGTACATGGACTGGTTTTTGATCGCTCGAAACAGTCCCACATGAGGCAATACTGATCACCATGTTCGAGTGCTTGTTCGGGCACAGCGAGTACTCTGTAATTAAAGATTGGGTCAGATGGTGACAGTTCCACTTACAATTGGCTATAAATTAATAAAATATTGAACCAGCGTTGTTAATAAACACTGCACAGTTTGTTAAATCCAACCGTGTGTGTTCCATACAAATTTATAAAGCCACTCCTGATCTGTTAATAGTTGCACAAATTTACATGCAAAAAAGAATGTGCGATTGCGTATACTGTCCAACGCGTAGTACCAGACCTGAACTGTTTGTATTTGTTCGCGGTAGATATTACAAATGCGAGACGGCCTATTTACTGTAACATGTCTGATGGTGAAATCAAGTACTTCATAAGAGGCCGATCAGGTGTTCAAGTAAAGCGCTACATTAGAACAAGTCTGTGAGAAAATTTTTAAAATGCAATCTTTCCGAAGGTGATGAACGAGCATTCCAATGCTTTTAAGTTAATGGTGGAAATGTTATAGCTCTGGTCGACCCCGATACTGCAGTTTTTGCCGTATCACGTTTGGTAGCCTTCGAAGCCATTGACCATGCACACATAATGTTAACTGATAAAAGAAAGAGAATTCCTCCATTTGGTTGCAACTGATATTGTCTCAGAAATACTATAAAATATATAGGTACGACTGATCTACTTATCTTGAGCATAAATATGACTGGCCTACCTAACGAGTCAGACCCAAATAATGATCAGTCGAGTAAAAATCTTGATTAAAGACGCGTAAACCTACGGAAGGTGACGCAAAGGATATGATACCACACTCCACCGATAGAATTATCAAATTAATCGTACTGAACAGGAAGACAGATCACTGACTGAGTGTACGAGTTCTCTAATGGGTATATTTAACTTGGCTTGACTAACGTTTACGTCTCTAAGTTAAAACGTCCTTCACAGAACTATGTAAGTTGGAGGCTCAAAGGCGTAGTCAAGACCCAAACTGAAGACTTGATAAAACAGGGTTTAATTAAGATCAATTACTGTGCAATCCCTGTTAACCATTGTACTTTTAGTGGTCGCTCAATACAAAACCTGATGGAACGTTTCGTATTAAAACAGGAGTGGTTGACAGATCGAGAGGGTGGGGGCGTACTATATCAAACTATGTATATAGAGAGGGTGTTGGGTATTTCTCTGAAGAAGAAAAAATGTCGAAAATTGACATGTCACGACAGCGAGGATGTACGACAATTAAACTTTGTGCAAGTCCGGCTAGTAGACCAATGGGTAAAACTCTTTCAATTGGACACTTTATTTATAGACAGTAGTGTAATTTACTACCAAGCTTGGCTCACCCCCTGCGCAAAATTTAACAGAACTACCCTTACACAAAAATTACTTGCTCATACATACTTGCCATTTTTGAAATAAATAATATTATCCCTATTGTAACTGTGTTTAAGACTATCTATATGACAAAAGCTACTTTACTCGCCCTTGATTCAAGTCTTTTAACTGATTTTAAGGGTATGAACCCTGATTCATAGTCCATGAGATACTGGCCAAACTTGCCAAGTTTGCCCTTAATATTACACACATACCAGGAATACATGACTATTTTTCTGACATGCTCTCTCGACTTGTCCCTGGATTGCAGAAGATAAGTAAACTGTTATTAGCTACTGATTGCATGTTTAACAAGAAATTGTTCCGCCTCGCTGAATCGTGTTGGGTAGATTTAAAATAGACCTACAATACACGTGGTATTGTACTATATACACAAGTTTAAATACAAACACGCGATATCTCAGTGAGCAACGAATCGATCAGCATCAAATCACTTGGGTGCGCGCATGCGCACAACATTTGTATCAGACATCAGTTTTCGGCAGATTGAATCTACTATTTATTTTGAGTTTGCCCGTATGCGGTTTAATGAAGTATATAATGAATATTATAATAGCATACTTCGGACATTTAGTCAACAACCAACGAAAAGTCAAAATGGGTCCTTGCGCAGCAGAATATTGTAAAGTTACAAATACAATAAACAATGCTAGTCGCAGAGTTCCAACTAGTAATCTAGATGTCTTTGTTAAGTAGATGCGCAAAGTGGGAAGACTAAAGGAGCACCATGATAATAGTGTGATCGATAAAGGGGCTCAAAAATACATAAACTGTTATGCACTAAACACTTTCGGATCAAGTGTATACGTATACTAGAAAATTGCATCAAGCTAGCAACCGATCCACTATCGATAACCACAGAAGAATACTGTATACACAGCACATGAAGGTATACATAGCACACTAGACCTTAGCACAGCAAAAACGAATTGACGAGATGATGTAACTGGACCTGTTAGACGATCAAGCACATCCTTCGCTGAGAGCTGGTAAGCGAGTATATAACGTTTCAAATTTATACGAAAAGCATCAAACAAACAAAAAAGATATCTGAAACAAGATTCCATTGCAATGAAATTAAAAGCCCGAACCGCTAATATCGCCATAAAGTGCCCAAATGGCGATTCTGCATATTCCACAATTCAGTTTGTAGTTTCTCAAACACGATCTTCTCTGTAAACATTTTGATCAATGGCTTCATAGCTGGTTGCATATACGCCTTTGTTGCACGACTCACACGTGATTTCCGCTGCTGCCGATCAGTTGCAGTCCCGTAGTGAACATTCACAATGAATTCATCTTGACGGTTAACCGTAGTTTTCGAGCTTAGAATACTAGCGCATACAAATACTTCTTCACTGGTATTTATAGAGAACTCAGCACCAGTGTGTAAGATTAGGTCGAAGCCGATATTAACACCTTAGAGTATTTGAACGCGTAGGTAAAATCTAAGTAATCGAAATGAGACTTTGAGTAAAGTTAGGTATGCCTCGTGAAAACAGCAATACTCTGAGGGATTGTGAGGCTGAGACATTGCTTATATATAATCCTCTCAGTACTGTTTTCGCCGAATGGATTTTATTTAGTGTTTTGTTGTCGCTCTATTAGAAACTATGGTACGTTTCGTTGAGGCGAATCAGAGAGACTCATAAAATCCTATCTTTAGAAAAAGAAGAAAAAAATTAAAATTAAAATACTCTTGATGTCCTTAGCTATTGCATTAACCAATAACTTGCCACTTATCAAGAATTACCGACTTGCTACTATCAGACTGGCACATCTGGTTGGCTGAACGGAGGATAAACTAGATAACGTTAATAGTCCCTAGAAACCTATATTCGGTTGCATTCAGATATAAATAAATTTGGAAAGTAAATATAGCTTTTTTAATAGAACTAGACCAAATCTTCTGTTTGGTATTTTACTGGGGCATTTTAATGGCCTTGTCCAAATATCTGATATGTGAAATGGAAAAGGTGTTAAATAATAAAACCGTTAAAAACCATTAAGGAAAACTTAAGTTCCTCGTACTATTAAGAGTACGTTTATAGTTTACGTACTGCTTAAGAGTACGTTTATAACATAGAGTCTAATGTGGAGGCCCGGCTATTACAAGTGCTTATGCCCATTAAATTGTATTGACATAATTTCTGCGCCTCGTCGCACCCCGATATAGCAGTATGGTGTTCGATATGGGCTGATGTGCGCGAACGTCCCTTCGTACAGGCGGCCATACTAAGAAAAATGGAAATTTGTGTGACATATTTGACTTAATAGCCATATATGTCCTTTAAACTCCTCAGGGACATCACAAACGCCATATGCCTGTATTGCTTTCTGTGATTTTGCGAAACGATCAAAGTCACCTATACTATATACTAAATTACCTGATTGGTGATTGAATATCTTGCTATTGCTATTTCTTCTATTGGCATGTCAATCTCAACTCTCATCGAATACCCAGCTATTTTGTTAGCATGCAGCCCTTTACACCTTGAACGTATTCTTGCACTCTACATGTTTCTTCTCACTCAATCCTTAATATAGCGCCTTTCAAATATCAGTTGACTTCCCCTCGATGCAGTTCGCCAAATATCCGATCACACCTGACATAATCTTGTTCATTCGTAAGTCGAATAGTGGTTTCTTGCTTCGTGCAGGTATTTAGAATAATCGCATCCTTTACGCATTCCATATGCTGTGAACGAAACATCCTTAAAACCTCACGATTTGAAGAACAAAAAAGGCATGATGCTCCGTTGTCTACACGCACACTTTAAATACTGTAGGACTGTTTGATTTCACTAATTTCATAGTTAGATAGAAGCATACTTTCACGCCAGGATAAGCTAAGAAGTTGAGTCGTCTGCTGCAACGAAAGCACTATCTCCATATATGCGACACAAGTATACAATTTGAGCATCTGCTCCGTAAGGTGCGATTCGTCATGCATGCACCGATAGATATACGAGTATGCTTCCATGAACGGGAATAGGCTTTCGACAACAACTTTACACCTTGTGTTGACGAACCGAGTTGTGCATCGAGCTTTTATCATTCACGGAAGACTTTGCAGCAATCGCCGATTCAGTGTTTGACAATCCTGGGTTTTGGGTTTAAGATTGGTTTTTCTGATAATCTGATTTCTAGATGCTACAGCCCCCCAACTTTGTACTTCAGAGCCTGTGTAAGAGTGGAAAGTGACATCTTACGGTACTAGATTATCTGGAGGTTGGTGTTTTTGTACAGGGAGAAACTTTTTCCTTCGGGGGTTAAGATGAAAAATCTGCCACCATTATCTATTATGTTATGTTACCTAAATTCAAACTATACTATGACAGAAGTTCTCCACCCCACTCATCGGAGTCAGTCTTGACCTGTGATGTCGATTGATCTCAACTTGGCTTAGGAAAACGTATTTCAACCGCGGTTCTACAACCGAGTCTTTGTTCCTTATCCCTCTGACTTGTGGGCCGAGCATGCTTCAAGGTGAGAACAGTGGGAGTGTCCTTCGGTGTCAGTGAAACTTGCTTTAGTTCCCCGCCACGTGCGCTTCTTGTTGCTCGCCGATCGTTCATCAATGCTCGTTGCGGCTAACTTCGTCGGTCTGTATTGCACTCGCTTGCGTCTGGTACGCTGTTGGTATCGTGTAAGAACATCAGCATTTGTGATGTCGGATCCATGCGCCCAGGTACGCTCCCCATCTGTGCATTGCAGTATGTATTCCTGGGATCCATCACCTTGTGTGGATGGTCTGTGGTCAAGTATCGAGGAGAACTGAGCCTCTTCTGATGGTTGTACTTGACTATTAGGGGTGAATTCCTCCACAGCATTAGCCTTCTTGACTATACCGATTAATTCATCACTAACCGAGTTAGAATATTCCGGAGCTTTATCCCATCAAACTTACAAACAAAATATACGTTGACCTCCTTGCTTACTAGCTGGTACTGACACTGTTCTATTCATTTCACCGTGGTAACTGAGAGACTACAGTAGAAAACGTATTTCTATATACGTTATTAGCGTTTTACGTCGTCAGCCCGAGAGTATTTTGGGACTTGTTCTCAAATTAATATGAGTATAGGTGGGTCAGCCCGGGAGAACGTAAGAGTAATTTGATACTTCTTCTTAGATTATTCTATATATAGAATACGGGCCACCGGTTAGCCGAGAGCCGAGTTCCGAGACTGAGTGTAGTAACAGAGAATACGATATATTTATTTCTGGACAATATATCCGAGTGCTAAAGTGTTCTGCATAAGGTTTCTCATACTGATCATATGAGTTTTTACAACCCAAGTGGTTGAACACTAGTACACACACCATCAGTATATAACTGAGGGTGAGATCATAAATAAATTCTTTCAAATGCACAATACTTTAAATACACTAGCACTTTACTATTGGTCCCCCACACCGCATGCTAACAGTAACGAACCATTACAATGTCTCCTTCCTGGAAGTGTACATACTTCTGTTGGTATTTTCGGACATATGCTTCGCGCGTTTCCTTTTGATATTGTCCAACATTTGCATCCAGTTGTGGTCTAATCATTTTTTTTTAGATTCTTCAATCCTGTTTCCCATGGTATTGTTATACCAGTTGTATTGATTGGTGTGTTGTAGTCGGTTAGTTGGTTTTTTCTTCGTCCATAGTACACATTGTGTCGCGGTGATTTGTGTCTTCGTAATAAACGTAGGTTGTGGCCCATTTGAACAAATGGGAGGCGTGAACACCGGTTGCCTGGGTTTTGTTCAATGAACTTCCTGAGTAAGGGTATGAGGTCTCTATGTGAACACTCATTTGCTCCCATTACCTTGGGTTGATACATACGGTCTGGACACTAAGTGTTGTGACAGTACTTGCTCGATGATTTTCGAGAGTATGTCACTTACATATTCTGTGCCTTGATCCGTTTATATGACTTGCAGAATGTCATATTCACACATGATTGGAACTAGTGTTCGTGTGACAGTTGCCACTGATTCGTCCATCATTGGTCTGAGTATGGCATATGATGAGTGTACATCGAGCCATACTAGGACGTACGTATTACATCTATTCGAGTCTATCAAGGGACCGATGGTGTCCACTTGTATCTTATCGCCCGAAAATGCGACCAATATTGATTGTAAGGGGTGGAAGCCCTTCTTGTGATTATGTTCTTAAGACATGGTACACAGCCTTCAATGTATTGATTTACATGTTCTTTCTGGCAGGACCATGTGTGGCCATCTAGTTGAAGTTTGTTCACTGTTTCTTCGGCGGTAGGTGTAGTGGCCCATAATGTGATATTGAGCTAGTAGGATAGCTCTGACTAAATATGTGACCGTGTCTAGCTCTGCCGACTCTTCCTCGGATAGTACCCAGATAAGCCATATAGAGAACATACTCCAAATGATTTAATCCACAGCATCAAATAGAACCCAGATAAGCCATATAGAGAACTACCACCAAATGATTTAATCCACAGCATCAAATAAAACCCTGATAAGCCATATAGACAACATCCACCAAATGATTTATTCCACAGCATCAAATAGAACCCAGATAAGCCATATCGAGAACTTCCACCAAATGATTTAATCCACAGCATCAAATAGAACCCATACAAGCCATATAGAGAACTTCCACCAAATGATTTAATCCACTAAATCAAATAGAACCCGGATAAGCCATATAGAGAACTTCCACCAAATGATATACTCCACAGCATCAAATAGAGCCCTGATGATTTAATCCACAG